CCATCAGATCTGTTGCCACGGAACGAGCAGATCCTTTCCAAGGATGGGGAAAACATCTACAGTGACCCTTATTAAAATTGGCCACACACAGTGGCTCATGCCTGAAGGCCCAGAACTTTGGGAGGTCAAGGCAGGAGGATGGCTTGAGGCCAGGAGTTCAAGACCAACCTGGGCAACATAGCAAGAAAATAAAGTAGATGGGCATATAGAAAATAAAGTGGTGTGGGCCTGTAATCCCAGTGACTCGGGCAGCTGAGGCAGGAGGGTCTCTTGAGCCCAGGAGTTTGAGACCAGTCTAGACAACATAGCGAGACCTGATCTCTACAAAAAAATTAAAAAATTATTGGGAAGTGGTGGTGCACGCCTGTTGTCCCAGCTACTGGGGAGGCTGAGGCAAGAGGATCGCCTGAACCTGGGAGGTTGAGGCTGCCATGAGCCATGATTGTACTGCTGCCCTCCAGCCTAGGCAACAGAATGAGACCCAGACTCAAGAAAAAAAGAAGTTGACTTTCAAAAGGCCACATGCTGGTGAGAAGAGCCCTTGAGGGCTTGCCGCCCAGCCTCTCCAGCCTCTCCAGCCTCTTCAACCCCTCTGGCCTCTCGCTTTCGTTTCCAGAGCTCCCCGTGGACGTGGACGAGGCGTTGGGGGCTGGGTAGGCAAAACTGAAGTGATGAGCACCCTCCTAGGGACTGTACCACAGGTTTGTCCTTCTGCAGAGAACAAAACACAGAGGGCAAGCATGGGAGTAAACACCACCTGCCCGCGATGCAAGGTGCGTGCTCCCCACCAGCCAGAGGCTCTATGCTGCTGGGTGGGGCCCTGGGCCAAATTCCTGTCACCTCTGCCCTTCACAATGCAGCTCTGTCCAGAACCAGGGCTGGGGCAGCTCCCAGCAGCCTGTGGTGGGAGCAGCTGAGAGACACTCACTGCAGACGGAAGGGTCGTCGAGGAATAGACAGAGTCCAAGAGAAGCTGGAGGATGAGCATTTCCTGAAGTTGGGGGGTTCTAGGATCTGTAATCTTTCTCTCTGTCTCTTTCCTCTTTTGTTTCTCTTTATTTTCTTCCTTTCTTCCTTCCTTCCTTCTCTCTCTCTCTCTCTCTCTCTCTCTCTCTCTCTCTCTCACACACCTGTCTTCCCTGTCCTTCCTTCTTTTTTTTTTTTTGAGACAGGGTCTGGCTCTGTCACTCAGGCTGGAGTGCAGTGGGGATTCATAGCTCACTGCAGCCTCCAACCCCTGAGCTCAAGCAATCCTCCCACTTCAGCCTCCAAAAGCACTGGGATGACAGGCATGAGCTGCTGTCCCTGGCTGGTTTTTCCATGATGTTTGGTCATTGCTCTCTTGAATTCTGACACAGAACTAAGCACTGTCCCTCCTATATAGACAAGAAACCAAGGCTTCATAACTCACTCAGCCCTGCTGGAACGAGGAGCCTGGCACTAGCATACCTTCCTCCTGGACCCGCAAGGTGTCTCTCGACTCCCCATCCCACAGGTGTCTCTGGCTCAGAGCAGGAGCAGGAAGGAGCTGCCTCATGGGCCCCAGCCTTTCTGCCCCTCTGAGCCTTGGCCACCGAGGCACTCTCCCTGAAACGTTCTGCATCCACACACAGTGCGGCCTGGAAACTTTGTTCCACTGGGTTTTGCCAGGAGCTAAACTTAGCCCTGCAAGTGGAGGCCAGGAGCGGGGCTTTCTGGGTATAGATAGTAACAAGCGGGCTATTTTCAAACACCCAGAGAACCTCCCCCCCAGATTATTCTGGGACAGAATGATATTTATAGAATGCTCTGGGCTCCTGGGAACGAGTCGGTAACCTCAGCGCCTCTGCAGCTTTTGGGAGACAGGCTGCCTTCAACGGGGAGCAGGAGAGGGACCCGGTCATCCAGAAGACTTTGTCCTCACACACCTGTTTCCAGGAGGCCCAGCATTCTCGTTGCTTCTGTCCCCATGAGTCAGAACAGCAGAAGGCGCAGGGCCCTGCTGGCCGTCCTTCCCACACGCCCCAGCCGGCCCTGTCTGTGCTTGGTGGGCACCATCCTGGGAGAAAGCCCTTACAGGAGTCTTACTGCTCTGAAGCCTATGGCATTTTCTCCTGTCCAGACCTTCAGTTTCTTAGGTTTCTGCCCTCACCCCAGCATAGCTGGGCTGGCCTGAGACACCTGTCTTCCACTCCCTCCAGTCCTGGGCAGCACACGCTCAGAATCGTTGGCTGGAAAGACCTTCTCTAGGGAGGAATGTGATGGGTGATGATTTGGTCAGAAAGAGGGCTGTGGCTGGGCACGGTGGCTCATGCCTGCAATCCCAGCACTTTGGGAGGCCGAGGCGGGAGGATCGCTTGAGCCCAGGCGTTCGAGATCAGCCTGAGCAACATAGTGAGACCTTGTCTCTACAAAAAGTTAGCTAGGTGTGGTTTTGCACACCTGTAGACCCAACTACTCAGGAGGCTGAGGTGGGAGAATCACCTGAGCCCAGGAGATCAAGGCTGCAGTGAGCCATGATCATGCTGCTACACTCCAGCCTGAGAGACAGAGTGAGACTGACATAAAACAAATAAGCAAATGGCCGGACTTGGTGGCTCAGCACTTTGGGAGGCCAAGGCAAGTGGATTGTCTGAGCCTGCAGGTTCGAGACCAGCCCAAGCAACTTGGCAAGACCTTGTCTCTACAATACATCAAAAATTAGCTGGGCGTGGTAGTGCACACCTGTAGTTCTGGCTACTTGGAAGGCTGAGGCAGAAGGAGCCCAGCAGGTCAATGCCGGGGTGGCCATGAGCGTACTACTGCACTCCAGGCTGGGCAACAGAGTGAGACTTCAACTCAAAAACAAACAAACAAACAAACAACAACAACAAAAGGAAAGAGATGACCTGGGGCAAAGACCCACCCAGCTGTCCCCAGAGAAAGAGATGGCCAGGCCCTTCCTGGGATGGCAGTGACTAGGCTGACACCTCCTTCCCGATTCTCACTCTGCAGGTGTTGGGAGGGGGCTCCAGAAGCCCAGCTGCAAGTAGGACCCCAAGCCCAGCAAGGAGGTGAGGGGTAGGGAGGAGTGAAAGGGTAACTGGCAGGCTGGGCAGGCGGGGTGACCCCTGGGTGGGACTGGTTGGCAGGCTGCGTCTGACCTAGTCAGACTTGTCCTCCATGGAGAGCGCCCTCAATTCTTGACACTCCAGCCCCCTGGCCAGGCTTTCCTCTGTCCCCTGCCAACCCGCCCTCTGCCCAGCCTGCCGCCCGGATATAAATATAAGTGCATTTTCCATGGGCTGCTACAGGAGGAAAAACATTCGGCTTTATTTTCAGCCTGTGAAATTCCCTTCCTTCATACCCAACAGGTGCAGGCGCCTCATTTAGATATCGGGGCCCAGAAATAGATACGATTTACAATATAGCTTCCTTTAGGCATCTGAATGCTGTTAAAAAAAGAAAAAATCCCCAGTGAGATGCCCGGACTGAAAATACAAACATGGGCTGGGGCGCGAGCCATCGCCAGGCTGGAGGAACCCCCAGGCCCGCTCTTAGGGGAGATACTGGGACAGAGTCAGGAAGAAGGCGCCTGGGAGGATAGGCTCCCACTCCCCAGGCCCCTGCGCTTACCTGGCCTCACCTCTGCCTTGAGGGGATGAGGCCGGGAGACAGACAGTAGCCAGTGGATGGAATCAAACTTTGAAGATGAGACCTGTCAATCCCACCAGTTAGAACTGACCCTATAGACTGAAGGAACAGGAAGGGGCTTCGATGTCCTCGCCTGGCTTGAGGTCAGAGGCCCTAGCAGGAGACTCCCGAGAAGCCCACATGTCCTCATGAGCTGCTTGGGCTGAAGGGTCCCCCAGAGCCCTGTGTGGAACCTCAGATGTGACTGCACCTGGAAGCAGAGTCCCAGAAGTGATGAGTTCAGATAGGGGAGTCCACTCCCATGCAACCAGTGTCCCTACAAGAAGAGACGAGCCAGCCAGACATGCACACAGGGGACACACATGGTGAAGGACAGAGGCAGTGGGAGGGGGAGGCCACCACAGCCAAGGACTGCCGGCAGCTGCTGTGTCTCCAAGAGAGGCCTGGGACAGGTCCTCGCTCTCAGCCCGGGAAGGAGCCAGCCCTGCCAACACTGTGGTCTGGCCCTTCTGGCCTCCAGAGCGGGGAGCATAATTGTCTGTTGTGTAGCAGCCCAGGCTGCGGGCCTCTGTCACGGTGGCCCCAGCACACTTGCATGTCAGTTACATGTCACTCCCTCCACGTTCCCCTCGGGGGAGGCAGGTCCGGGTCTGGAGATACAAGCGGGGCCTTCTGAGAGCATCTCATCCTGCCAGCTCGTGGGGTCTGCAGAGCCCAGAGCCAGAGCACTCCCAGGTGGTCTATCTACTCAAGGTCACCCTTAGTCCAGAGGATCCCAAGGTCAACGTCACCTTTCCTCTGGGACTGTTCCCAGGTCCCTCAAATAGGCATTGTCGAACCATCAGCCAGGGCCCGTCAGCACCCGATGAGAGTCTGCCAGGGTGACCAGCAGTGGGGGGGACGCTCCAGGTGGCTGAGAGGTAGAGAGTGAGGTACCTTGTGTGCAGATGCAGGGAGCGCTCCTGAAGGTTCCCTGACTCTGTGCGATGCCCAGGTGAGCAAGGGAAGCCTTGCAGCTTGCCGTGTGGTTCTGTTCTGGGCCAGAACAAAGGTGCCTGACTCATGGCCCTCGACCAGGGCTAGAGTAAGCAGGTGACAGAATGCCAGGCCTCCAGGGGAAGAACAGGTGTCCCCTCCAGAAGCTCCCCCTGTCCTCTCTGGAAGGTGTCAGGGACTGTCTCCCTCAGACCAGGACGGGTCTCCTTTCTCCATTCTGGATTCTGCCCTAGGCTGCCACTGGGAAGAGGAGGACCAGCCGGTGGGAGGCTACCCACCCTGGGGGTGTGAGGAGGTCAGGAAGAAATGATAGTGCTGCTGGGCAGTGGGGGCAGGACCCTGGTGGGACTTGCGTGACAGCAGCTGCGTGGGCTTGGGCCGGCGTGCCTCACCAGAGTGGCTGAGGGGCAGGCTCTGGTTCTTGCTCTCAGATGCCCCCATGCCTGGAGGACAGTGGCTCAGACCCTCACAGGACGGCGGCCACCAAGTCAGGACCCAGGACTCGAGGGCTGCGGGTGGAGTCCTGAACCTCTCCTCACCACGCGACCGGAGGAGGAATCTCCCACCCCCTGGCCACACACACCTGCCCAGCCTTGCCTTGCCTGGTCCCCGCATGCTTCACACCCTCCCTCTGTCAACCTCCTGAGCCATGTGTTGCTGCCCCTTCCTGGCCTCGCTTCTCCCAGTGGCGGTGTCCCCAATTCCAGTGAGGTTCTCACGACATGAGGCCCTGACCCAGCGTTTCCCGCCGACTCTGGCTGGAAGGGCCCACGTTACCCCAGATCCTGTGGCCCTCGGACCTCCCCGAGTCCAGCTTCCCCTGCAGATCCAATACCTGGCCAGGCACGACACTTCAAAGGATGCAGTGGGCAGGGGGCTCGAGGGCACTTTATTTTCCCATAGCTGTTCCCCCTGAGAAGTGGCTGAGCCCCTGCCCAGCCCTCAAGGTCTGAGCAGAATACTCTCCAGAGGCCCAGGGCCTCACCCCCAGGCACCCAGACCCCCAAGTGCAGGCTCTCCCAGTGCCACTCTGTCTTCAGGGCTCTAGTGAGGTGGGGAGGGGATGTGCGCTTCTGAGCACATATGTGTACATGCATGTACACATGTGACACGGGACAAACCCCAATCCAAAGGCAGGTGGAGGCCAGACGAGAGGTAGTTGAGTCTTTGAGGACAGGCCGCACAAATGCATCCACCATAAGTCAACACTGTTCATTTCTGCTGCGAGGGGGCAAGGCAGCCCTGAGTCAGCCAGCCGGCAGGACTGTCCCAGGCTGGCGGCTGTCACCCCAGATGCGGACTCTTGGAAGCAAACCTGGAGATCAGACTCTGTCCAGGGGACCCGCAGCCCTTGCTCCTTTGAACACCTCCTGGGAGTGGGTTCTTGTCTGAGGAGCCTGGCAGGTGTGCAGGGAGCCCTTTGCCGGGTGCCTGCGGGACTTCCTCGGTTCTGAGCAGCCCCCAGTGGGAGGAAGGCACTGAGCGTGAGGCAGGGCCCCTGGCCTCCTGGGACACCTGGCCCCTCCGAGAGTACCGGGTGACACAGGTGAGGTCCCTCCTACCTGTGCTGACTGCGCCCCTCAGGGGCCAGGGCAGCCACCGGACTCCTCATGCCGGGCCAGGAGGGACATGCGTGAGAAGGTCTTGGCGCAGCCCTTGCACCGGTACTTCTTGGTGTCCGAGTGAGTCTGCAGGTGGGCCCGGAGGTTGGAGCGGTCAGCGAAGGCACGGCTGCAGTGCTGGCAGGCGTAGGGCTTCTCCCCTGCCGGTGGACAGGCCGTGAGTGTCCCCTGGGGTGTCGCCCCTGCAGGGCCTGGCCACCCGTGGATAACCCTCCTTCCCCTCCAAATGCTCGCTCACGGCTTGGGGCCCAAGGCTGCGCTGCTTGGGACGGGGTGGCACGTCACACCTGGGCATAGCTGCACTATTTGAAACCCTTGCCAACAGTGGAGGAAGCCACTTTGCCGGATTGGCCACTGCGTCTGCAGAGCCCTCCTGGGGTCCCTGGCCACTGGGATCAGGGCAGGGACGCGTGGGGGCCTCTGGCAGCTGTCCTGGGGTGACAGGCGAGTGGGGGCACTTGCCCACTCCCACAGAGTCTAGAGCAAGGGCAGGGCTAGAGCCTGAGGAGGGAGCCTTGGGAGCCACCTCTGGTCACAGCCACTGGGGATCTAGGCAAAGGTCTTCTGCCAGGACCTTGGCCCCAGGGAACCCTAACAGGTATAAAGGGAGGGGTGACAGGGACACATGTGGTCTTATAGCCTGAAGAGTCATGAGGGACAGCAGCCTGCAGTCCCCAAGGGGCTCAGAGCACCTGCATCCCTGCCAGTGAGACCTAGGCACGGTCCCAGCCAGGCCAGCCTCCTGAGGACCCTCCCACACGCCCAGGTGCCACACCCAACAGGCTCCACCCAGTGTGGGTCGGGTCTCTGAGGAGCAGACGGGGCTTTCCAGGCTCTGCAAAGGCCTTTCCTAGCCTCCGCCCAACCTTCTGGCCTCCACCTGTGCCTCCGAAGGTCCCAGTGTGACTTGGGGGCTGGGAGCCTCCAGTTATATGTGAGCTGTGGTCCTGACAAGGAGGCACAGGCTAGTTCCTGGGGCTGTCCCTCTCCTTTTCTGTTTTCCCTCTGCACGCAGAGGTTGATGGGAGGCCTTGGGTGGAGTCCAGCTGCCACTCTAGCAGAACAGGCTGTTAGTCTGTGCTGGGGCCCTGTTCTAGCCCTGGCATCTCCCAGCCCCATGCCCACCTCCCTCTCTGCATCTGTGTCTCCCTTGCCTCCCTCCACAGCCTCCCTGGAGGCCCCTGGTCTGCAGCCTCCTCTCTAGGGGTGTGGCTCCCATCTCCCCAAGGTCCCAGGATGCCACTGTTCCCCTTCACCCCAGGCCAGGCCTTTCTCACTCCCTCTACCCACCACATGCTCTGTGACTAGGAATGGCCTGGAACGGGGCAGAAAGACACGCCGGGCTGCATGTCCGGTACCCTGCCTGGCCTCATGGCCAAGCTATGCCCCCCCAAGAGACACGTCCATACCCTGACCCCATCCCTGTGAGTGTCGCCTTGTGTGGAAATCGGGCCTTTGCAGCTGTGGTTAAGGGAACACCAGGCTATTGGGGTGGGTCCTTATAACAAGAGGGAAACCAGACACAGACAACAGGGGAGAAGCCGTGGGAGGACGGGGTGGAGGCCGGCCCACCATGGCCACCCGCCCAGGCACAGGGCAGCTTCTAGAAGCCAGAAGGGCAGGAAGGACCCTCCCTGGAGCCTTGGCCCCGTGGATACTTCCATGTTGGAATCCCGGCTTCCAGGATTTCTGCCATCTGAAGGTTCTGTCCGTGGTCTATGGGACTCCACATGGCAGACGCCACCCGTAAGCGTCCGCCCACCATCTCAACGGCACACCCCTGCCTCACCCAGGCCCCATAGCTGCCCTCCCCACCGGTCCCCCGAGACCTTGCGACCAGCCTACCTGTGTGGGTTCGGATGTGACCCTGCAGCAGCCAGGGCCTGGAGAAGGCCTTGCCACAGACCCCGCAGAGGCAGGGCAGCGTGTGGGTGCGGATGTGCATCTTGAGGGCGCCCAGGCTGGTGTACTCCTTGTCGCAGTGCTGGCAGGCGAACACGCGCCCAGCCTGTGGGTGGCAGTGCAACTGCCGGTGCCTGGCCAGCCCGGCCAGTGTATGGTAGGGCTTGTGGCAGTGCAGGCACTGGAAGCCCCCTGGGGCCCGGGGGCTCCGCTCAGCCTCCAGCAGCTTGTCTCCAGCCCCGTTGGGGCCCAGGATGGGGGCCCACCGTGGGGGCAGCGCAAGCAGTGGGGGCAGGTTGAGGTGATTCAGGCTGTCTCTGAGGGGGACGCTGGGGGCCCGGCCCACACGAGGGGCCACCCGGCCGACTTCCAGGACTTCGGGCCCAGAGGCCCCGAGAGCTTCCTGGTGCCGTGGCAGGAGGGGCAGGGCGATGTGGGCAACAGCGGAGGTGTGGTCCCGGGGCCAGGGAGGGTCGCTGGGCACGGAAGGGGTCTCCTTGTCTGGGGGCCAGAGGGGCACCACCAGCCCCCAGAGGGAGGAACAGGCACCATTGGTTTCTGGAAGGGCAGGCGGAGAGGAGAGAACAGAAAAAGGTGAGACCCAGTCCCTGGGGCCTTAAATCTTCACACGTCTGGGCGGCGCTCATGGGCAGGCTGGCATGAAGAGAATGTTGCCAGGGACGGATGTCTGACACGGGAGACAAAAGTGGCAGCCCCCGCCAGGAGTGCAGTCATGAGGGAATCAGGATCAATGAGACCCCACGGTCTAAAGAACAGGTCCCTGCTCCTCTCCAGGGCCTCTTGAGGGGCCCTCACGCCCAGTCCCGTGAAACAGGCCTCCTGGGCACAGCAGCTCCTGCCCACCCTGAGAGAGCCCCGTCCCTCCAGATTGTGGGCACAGCCCGGGGCCAGCACCCAGGTGCCCACGCAGCAGCCTTAGGGCAGACGCTTGACAGCATGGTACCAGCGGCCTGTTACATCAGCCCCCCATGACTAACAAGCCCCGCCACCCCACAGCCCTCAAGGCACCTCCTTTTGCCAGTGATGATGTGGGTGCTCATCAGCTTCCTGGCCACGGGGCATGGGACACTCAGCTGCTCCCTTCATGCCTCAGCTGGGTCTGTGGTTTGGGGTGCTCTGGGCAGAGCCTAGGTGGCACCGGTCTCAGTCCCAGGCCTGGCTCCCCCTCGGGCCGTGGCTACCCTGGGCAGGCACCTCATGTGTTTGATTTCACAGAGGTGGCAGCCCCCACTTAAATGGCTAGTTTGTGGCTATGAGCTAAGTTCTGGATTTCCAGAAAGCCCAAAGCTCCCAAGGCCCTCAACCCATTTCTCACTCCACGTGTTGAGAGAGTTCGCTGGCCTGCCCCCACCTCTTGCCAGGGCTTTGGGTAGAGAGAGACAGCCCGCAGGACAGTAGACAATGTGCACATCAGACATCAGGCCAGGAACCAGTTTCCAGAATACAGCAAGAATGTTTGCAACTCAATGGCAAAAAGACAAATAATGCAATTCTAAAATGGCAAGGTCAGCTGTCAAAAAGAACAAAATAGCATATTTTGCAGCCACTTGGATGGAATTGGAGAACATCCAATTCCTACATGGACTAACGCAGGAACAGAAAACCAAACACCACGGTCCTCACATATAAGTAGGAGCTAAACTCTTGATCCACAAAGACACAGAGATGGTGTGAGGGACCCTGGAGACTCAGAAGGAGGTGGGGGAGGGACAGAAACTCACCTGTCAGGGACAATGTGCACAGGTGGGTGTGGGCACACCTGATGCCCAGACCCAAACTGTTTGTACCCCCAAAGCTATTGAAATAAAACATATATATATATATATATATATATTTTTTTTTTTTTTGAGTTGGAATCTCACTCTGTCACCCA